TGATCATAATGCCTTTGTGCGATCTGCTACAGCAGTACCGGAAACCAGGTCTGAACCTTGACATTCATGATGTTCATAAGCTTCATCGCGCCGCCGAGGCTTTGAAAGACGTCATGGAGGTCGAGGCTACGCGGTGGATTCAGAGCCGCCAGGAGGACCCGATTTTGATCATGCATGGGAGCGACACGACACCGCTGACAACCGTGGAGAGATGGTGCTTGCGCAGCGGCGACAAGAAGGTCGTCAGGAAAGGCCGCGCCAGCAAGGAATGGCTGATCCAACGGCTGTATTTGCAGGACACTGAGGGTGATACGCACGCTGTTTTAACCGAGCCGGCGGCGATGGCCTCGAAGGATGCGTGGACCCATTTCGCTGCCTTCCGGAAGATGATGGGCCTGCCCCGTGAGCTTGGGCATCGCGGCCTCGTCGTGCACCACTACGTGTACGATAGGGCCGTATATTCGGCCATGGACCGTCACCACCGGCAACTACATGCAGCTTTGGGCATGCACATGAAAGATACCATGGCCGAAGCCGACGCTTCCCTCTGCGATTTGCTCTTTTACATTTCCGACGCCAGCAAGACGCACGATATCCACAACGGTTGGAAAGCTGCGGCCTTGGAGTTTCTCGTTACCAAGGAAGTCACCAGGTCCACGTTCATCGCAATTGCTTCCTTGCGCAACTCCTGCGACATCCTCATGAAGCAGGTGCGACCATGGCTGGACATGGAGTTCCTGAAAGACTCGGCGTGTGAGGACTGGGCCGTCCACTCGGTCCGCGAGGTCTGGGTTGTCCTAGGCGCGGACGAAAAGTGGCTGGACGAGCTAGAAGAACTCCAACTGAGGTACCAGGATGGCCAGCTCAAGGTCGCCGCCAAATTCAGTGGGCGGCCCGACGTCAAGGACAGAGTGGAAGTGGTGCTGGCGCACCTCTGGCAATTCCGCAAAGTTCAGTGACAGCCGCTGGGCCAGTGTGGGGAGAAGCTGCCGCACGCTCCTCTCCTCTGTTGTCGCTGGTCTGGAGGGTTTCCACCGATTCATCATGGGAGAGACCAGCAGCTCGAAGTATTTCATCAAGGGCTTCTCTCATTGGGCAGGGGAGGTCCGGCGCTTCGTCGCCATCATGGCCACGAGTTCGATGGTTGTGGACACGGCCTTGCATGCCCTGCTCAAGGACGACCGCCTCATACAGGTCATTGGGGCAGTGGAGGCTGGGATCCACGAGGAGGTCCGCCGCCAGCAGGACATCTCGGACGAAGTATGGCAGACGATCGCTGACAGCATCGACGAACCGTGGCACCGTCTTCGCGACGACAGTTGCCACGCAGGCCTCGTCATGGCTTGCTTCACTCTGGGCCGCTTCCGTTCCGCGCACAGCTTGCCCTTCTCGCTTTGCATCGGCGACGTCGATGAGAACCTGGACAGCCTCTGCCAGCAGGACATGGCAGATGAGGAGACGTCAGCTAAGATATGGACCCTGCTCCACGCCGGCTTCGATAAGGACACCATCAAGGATGGCTTGAGGCTGCTGGCCAACGTCTCTTTCTCCTCTACTACGGTGGGGCAGGGGCACGCCGCTGCCAGCACCGTCATGAAGCACCACAATGATTACAGTGCCAACACGATGACGTGCCGAAGCCTCGTGAAGCAGGCTGCCGCTTTGGTGTCTTTGACGCGGGCGGAGAAGCTCCTGCCGCGACTTCGAGCCCAGCTTCAACGCCTGGCGCGCCGCGAGCCCAACCGCATTACTGGGCGCCACGTGTACGTGAAGGAACTCTCGTTGCAGGCCAAGGCGGGGGGGGGGCGCCGACGGCCGCGCCAGGGGCGCGCGCGCGACGAAAGCCATCATCAAGGGCCACGGGAGGGCGTGGCGGGGCAAGTGCGCGCAGGTCAAGCAGCAGTACGCCAGGAAGGCGCAGCGGGCTCGCGTGGAAGCATTCGCCGACATCGCAGAGCAGAGGGAGAAGATCCTCTCCAAGATCGACGGCTTGCGCGCCGACGAGACCGAGGCTGACGGCAAATTGCCTCCGTTGCGCTTGTCGTCGGCGCGGTGGAGCTCGGCGCAGCGCGCTAGGGCGGACGAGTTCTTCTCCGCGTGGCCCCTGAGTTCCAGCGACATCGAGGAGAGGAGGAGGCTCGCCGCCGAGCCGATTATCGCCCCGAAGGTGGAGGTTCAGGAGACCCCTGCTCCGCTCCTGGGCCCCCCCCCGCCGGTCGAAATAGCTCACCGTCCTGGCCTGCCCGCGTCCCTGGCTGTCGCCGACCCCGCCAGTCCCCTCGCCTGCGGGCTCCGTCGAGCTCGCCGGGTCTCTCTCGGGGCAGAGGTTCTCGGGCGTTGTCGGGCCCCGCGGGGTTCGCGCGCGCGTCGGCCCGCGCGGGCCGTCGGGCCCCGTCGGGCTCTCCGGGGCGACGCGGGGGCCGCTCGATAACGGCCTCCGGACAAGAACGAGCAGGTGAACATGAAGACGCTGAAGCCGCTGCTGGTGCACGGGTGGCTGCTGGGCCCCGAGGAGGCGTCGAACGTGGAGGAGTGGAGGAAGAAGGTGTGCCCCCAGAGCATGGCCAAGAGTGGGCAGGCCTCAGGCTCCAAGAGCTCGGGCTCGCAGGCGGACTCGAAGAAATGCGCGGCAAACTTGTTCAAAAAGTGGTAGTGAGGGCGTGCCCTCTTCCGAGCCTCGTCGTATGTGGCTGACGCCCTGTCCCCGGCCATTGTGCTGGGCTGGCCGTCTGGCTCCGTCGGGCTCCGTCGGTCGCCGTCGGCATCAGTCTGGCGGCTCGACGGCGTCGTTTTCTAGCGGTGCCGTCTTCTTCCTGAGGCCACGCGCAGGGGCACGCGGCCCGTGGGCACGCGGTGATTCACGGCCCCGCCACCGAACGAGAGAGCAAGCGCAACCCAACCGACTTCAGAGTGTACACGACCCATTGCGACCAGCACAAGAGAGGAGGTCACCACCGTCCCCCACATTCGTCGCCGTCCTAGGCTTCATCACCATCATCGCCCAGACATCCATCGTTACATCATGGTCCGCACGATTACCAGCATAGCCCTCGTGCGCGTGGGAGGTGCTCAGACTTCCGGGAGAGCGCTTGCCGCCCGCGGTGACTGTCGGGGTGTGTCGGGCTGGTCGTCGCTGCGCTCTGCGGGCCCCGGGGGGAAGGCATGGAATGGGGGAGGGGCGGAGTGGAGGGGTAGGAGCGGGGGAGGGAGGAGACGGGGTTGAGGAGCACGAGGGTGAGGATCCACAGCGTAAAGGGAGGATCACGCGGAGGAAGTATCGAGGAGGCGGAGGGGCGTGGAGGGCCCCCCCGGCGTGTTCGGTGCTTCCACCAGCGGCCATTTTGAAATCATCCGTCCAGTTCCGTCGGGCACCGTCGGGCCCCGTCGGGCTCCGTCGGGCTCCGCTGGGCCACCGCGGGGGCACCTCTCATCAGTTCGGGGGCACCCCTCTCATCTATGATTATTTTGGTTTTCTATTCGCCCCTTCGTTTGTCCTCCCTCCCCCCCTCCTCGTCAGTTCTCTCCCCGTCTTCCTCCACCCTCCCCTCCTCGAACCCTTCTCGCCTTCCTCCTCCGCCCTCCCTTCCAACCCTTTCCGCCCTACCCCCCCCGTCGGGCCCCGTCGGGCTCCGTCGGGCTCCGTCGGGCTCCGTCGGGTTCGTGTTCCGTCGGTCTCCGTGGGGCTCCCCCCGCTGTCCGTTGGAATCGTGGCGGGTATAGTAATTGATGCCGCCGCGGCCTTGAGTTCCCAAACTTTTCCTGCGGTCCTCCTACCCCCCCCCTCTGTTGTCCGTTCGTCGTCCTTTGTTTTGCATGCCTTGCTCGGCCGAAGGGGCCGTAACATGTGAGAGGTGTTCGCCCTTCGGCCCAGACAGCCGTAAAATGTGACAGGCGTTCTCTGAAGTCCCATAGGTCTTGAATTGGAGCAGAACCGCCCCAGCATTAAAAGCAAGGTCGTAACATGCGGCACTGAACGTCCTGAGTGTGGGAGGGCCGTGTCTGCTAGCCTCCCCCTTCCCTCCGTAGCCTCGTGGGCTCAAAGCTGCAAGGCTTGGCTGCGCCCGTGCAGCCTTGTCTTTAGAACGCTTCGGCATTCGGGTTTCTCCTGCGCCTGCGGGCGCAGGCCCGGCACCACCCCAGCAGGGCGAGATCCAAGTTGTGGAGATTCCAGATGAAGGCCGCGCGGTCAAGAAGGGCCGCCATCAAATCCTGAGTACTGAAGACATCCCGCCACTCGAAGCGTGGACAGACCCTCGTGCGCTTAGCGTCGACGTGATGCAAGCTATGTGCAAGAGGCTCGGGCTCGTCCAGCGGGGTTCGAGACCGGAAGTGGTAGCACGGCTCGTGGCGGCCCAGGCCCCTTTGCGGGAGCAGTGTGAGCTACGCTGGATGGAAGATAGTGCCGGCGACGTGGAGGTGTATGTACCCGCGCCAGCCCCTGAGGCTGTGCAGAGGGCGCTGGCCGCTTCAGTCGACCTCCCAGCCTTCGCCCAGCCGGTCTACGATTACATTGTAGATTTCTCGAACAGGATGCTTGCGCAGGAATTGCCGACAGCACCAGGCACGGACGCACCCCTTCATTCCAGGCTCCCGCCAGATATGCAGCAGACAGACATCCAGGGTGAAGGTATATGGTGCCTTATGTCACGTGCGGACGTTCGCGTGTTGGCGGCAGCATGGGCGGTGATGCAGCGAAAGGGATGGCCGACAACGCTCTGCGTCATCGTCTTCGGCTTTGTGCACCTGGTGTACCACACGCACGCGGTAGCCTTTGTGCTTGCGCTCTTGCTGGGGCACCCTGACATGAACGCGGGGTACACGATCGAGGGCGTCGCCCGCGCCCTCGACTGGGCGTGGGGGGTCGCGGGCCTTTTCTTTCGTCCTCTCCGAGTGTTGAGGGGCGCCCTGATTCAAAAGCCTGGCCCGGGGGCGTCGACGCCCTCGTCGCCGTACGGAACCCCTGCAACTGGAAAAGAAACACCGATACGGATTGGAGGGTGATGCTAGACGACGTGCGGAATGAGGCGTGGCCGACGGCCTGCGCAGAAGTGGCGAATGCGCTCCAGAAGCCGCCCTTCTGCTATGACGCGTACCGCCAGATCCTGCAGCGCGCTGGCGTCAGGTTCTACCACGGGGGGCTGAAGTCATATAACAGTACCCACCTGCTGCGGTCATTGGCCTTTGCGACGAGGAGCCGATTCGAAGACCACCTGGGCGATTGGGATGCCCTGAGCAACATGGGGAACGGGGTCAAGCAATACGAGCTCGACTACGACACGGCGGTGCAGATGGTCGATTCGGTCCGGCGCTCCGGCGTGCCCGAGTACAGCTTGGGCGACCTGGCGTGCTACCTGTGCCTGGCGAAAGCGCATGCAGCGTAGAATGTTTCGCCAAGGCGCGAACTGCTCAGCAAGCAGTCTGGCCCGAGGAGCAAGCCCCCGGACCCGCCTGGAGAGCGGGGGCCTCGGCTTGCCCTTGGAAGCGGCGCGGCTTAGGCCCGCCCTAGAGAAGCTCCGCAGAGGAGGAGGAAAACAACACCACTGCCATTGCATCTATCCCACGCCAGCGCTACGGTCGCGAGCATTGCCGCCGCCAGCGCTGCCGATGCCGCCGTCGCTGCGTGGTGTGCATATCGTTGGCTCCGCCATCCGACGCCCCTCGGCGCCCGCGCGCTTGCCTCGCTACCAGCGCCGCGAAGCCGCGCTGAGCTGCTTCTCGCCTCGCCCGCGCCCCCGCGGCGAACGCCGTCGCGGGGGCCAAGCGACCGCGTTCTTGCCTCGGCGCCGGCACTTCCAAAGTGCTCTCGTTTTTTTTCACTGGAAGCCCTGTGGGAGGTCGATCTAGGTGAAGGATCTTGGGTCTTGCGTGCTCACCGCGTGGGTCTTCTGAGGAAGCTCCTGTTGTTTCTTGCAGAGTTTCGGAGGGCGCCGATGTCTTTCTTACGGGGTTAGAAGAATGGTTCGGAGGCCTGGAACTTTCACATGAAATCAACGACGTGGATTTGCATCCTGCTGCAAAGTTCGCCGTCGATGTTGCCCCCAGGGCCGTGTCGTTCACAGATCGAGTGGCCATATACACTGATGGTTCGCATTATGAAGAAAACCCCAAGGATGGCGCGTGGGCGTTCACGGTTTGTTTCGTTGACCACGACGGTGTCAATTTCAATGGGTATCGTAAAGGCCTACTAGAATGCACGATCCCAGAAGATGCCATACCAGTCAAGCCTAGCAGCACAGCTTCTGAGATTGCTGCATGCGTATGCTCCTTATCCTGGCTCCTCCTCGCTTCCCACACCAAGGATTGGCACCCTGCAGTATCCATTGGAACGGATTCGAGGATCACCTCATGCATTGCGGAAGATACCTGCATCTCCCATGAGTTGGCCAATCTGGCGGACATAATGCTAGGTTTGCTTGACAGAGTGCGCAGCAGAATGGCTCTTTCTTCCCACCATATCCCTTCCCATAACTTTCATCCGTGGAACGAGCTGTGTGACTCTATTGTACGTTCGCCGCAGGCCTTTGAAGCTCTTGCCCCAGAGCAGCTGCGCGCTTTGTTTGAGGCTGACCGCTCGTGGAAGTGGCAGCGGTGGTGGGATGCCAAGCCAGAGCGAAAGGCTGCCTACCAGCCTTTCAAGGATGGTTGTTTCAGTGCCCAGTGGAAGCCGCAGAATTGCCAACCTGAAATGATTACTATCCCATCTCCCCCCTCGTCGAGCCCCAAAGCTGTTAGGCTAGCCCTCAAAGTAACTACGTACAGTGCCCTCGCTGCCAAAGCTGAGGTCACTAAAGGCAAACAACAGCTCGTGACCAATAGGGGACCCCACCTACGGCATCAGTTTTCTCTTGGCAATCAAATCATAATAGGAATCCAGGAAGCTAGACTAGACGAGAGCCGTGACACGCGTAATGGATACATTACCTTTAGCAGTCAGTCTGAGTCGGGGAATCTTGGGTGCTCCCTTTGGGTTTCATTACATCACCCATATGGCACCAAAGACGGATATCCCACGTACTTTCAGGAGCGACATTGCCGCCCGCTCCAGGCGTCTGCACGCATGCTGGCGGCGGCGATTGACGCCCCCCCCCCCCCCCCCCCCCACACACACCACACACACACACACACACACACACACACACACACACACACACACACACACACACACACACACACACACACACACACACACACACACACACACACACACACACACACACACACACACACACACACACACACACCACCACCACACCCACACCCACCTCACGCTCATTGTGTGCGTTGCACGCGCCCCTCATGCTGCAGATAAGGAAGAAGTCAGGAGGGAGTTTTGGGGAGGAGTTAAGGAGGTGCATGAGAAATGGGGAATTGACTTGCTTCTCTGTGGCGCGAACGCGCACATTGGCTCAGAGTGCCCAGCGGCAGTTGGACCTGAAGGATATCTCGAGCAGCAAGATCAGTCAGGAAGCATGTTTCATGATGCCCTTCTCTTCATGCAGCATGAAGCTATCAATGCCTTTATTTCTTCTGGGGACACACATCACACTTACGTCAAACATAAGCCCCAACAAGGCCGACTTGCCCCCCCCCCCCCCCCCCCCCCACCCCCCAAGTTCCCAGAGGGACCCAGGCATGCGTGAACAGGTCAAACATCGGAAGGATTATATTTGCATAGCTGAACGGCTATGGCCCATGGTGCAGGACTGCTGGGTGATTTCAGATGTAGACGGATTGCGCGGTGCCAGTGACCACATGCCTGTCAGTGCAGCGTTGGACACGACAGCTGTCAAAGGTGCAAGGACACCACTCTCCCTTTTCCTTCCCCCAGTGCTGCCCCCCGATGTTTCCTCAGCCTTTCGAGAGCGAATAGCAAATATGCCAATCCCGCGGTGGGGCACGGACATGAACCGATATTACCATGACTTCTGCAGTGAGACCAGAATGACTATGCTCTCACTTTCCCATCGGTCTCCATCTGTTCCCAAGACCCCCTTTGTTACTCTTCAATTGGTTGATGCCATCTCTTTCAGGAGGAGAATCCAACGGGCGCTTAGGACGTTCAGGCAACAAAGTGCCCCTGCACTTTTTTCCCTGGTGAATGACCTTCACGAAAGGAATTTCCCTCCCCTCCTGCCCGAAGAAAAATGGATCATCCCTCTCCTCCCCTTACTCCTTCAGGTGGACTACTACAAACAAGGTGAGGCCTCCCATGATTCTGTATTGTCTGCTCTTGTTTCTTTCCTTGCCCAGTCCCGTAAGGTCATGCAGCGACTCCTCCGAGACAGCAGGACGCAATTTCTACAAAAACAGGCACAGACACTAACTGATAACATAGCAGGGAACGACAGTCAAGCAGAGTGGAGGACTCTTGGGGTTCTGAGGCGTTTCGGGGGATGGAAAGGTAAAAAGTCTAAAACTAAGCTAGGTCAGCTACATATTCGAAAGACCCCAGAGGGCAACACACTCCGCACCAAAGAGGAGATGGACAACGATGCCCTGAGAGCCTTTGCCAGCATCGAACGCGCATCAGCCCTCTCCCGCTCGGAACTCTGCGAGGTGTATAATGAAGATCAGAAGCCGCCACCCTTTCGCCAGGTACCCCCTTCTCAAGTGGTTACGGTTCGAGGCCCCCATAACAGTATCATTGCCAGCAAGAAGCATAAGGCCACCAGCCCAGATCTCATCAGCAATGATTTTTTGCGAGTAGCGGCCAGCGAGTCTAGTTGCCTCATGCATCCTCTCTTTTTGCGTATGTCTCTCTTTGCCGAGGAACCTCTCGCGCTCAAAGGAGGACAAGCAGTGCCTGTCTATAAGACAGGCCCTGGATCAGTGATTGATGCTGACTACAGACAGATCCTGCTTGGGTCGCATGTCATCAAGCATCATAATGCCTTTCTGAGATCCATGCTATACCGACTGACCGAGGGGCTAATTGGAGAGGTCCAACTAGGAGGCCTCAAGAAGAAAGGCACAGAACATGCCATTCTGTTGACGCAGAGTTTCATCAGCACGTGCAGAATGCAAGGGAAGTCTGCCCTCCTTCTTTTCAGTGACATCAAGAACGCATTCTACTCAGTTGTCAGGCAATTTCTAATGCCAGTGGGGCACGACGGAGATATTGAAGAAGTTTTGCGCAGGAACGAGACTCCACCATGCCTCCTCGAGCCGATGAAAATGTTGCTATCCGAGCCCGCTGTTTTAGATGCTGTCGAGGGCCCCCACATTAGGAGACGTATCGAAAGCAGCCTACATGGCACTTGGTTCGAGGTTGGAGGAGCCGAGGACGTTGCCCTGGGAAAAGACAGCAGAGTAGGCATGCCCCCTGCAGGCTATCTCTTAAACCACAGTTTTTGGCCTGTGCAACAAGAGATCACACAAGCTCTGGCAAGAAAAGGTTGGCTACTATGTATCCCCCCATTGATGATCATAACAGACTTCTTTCCCATGAAGGTGAGGGCCCCCCAGTTGCACAGGGACCGTCCTATGTTGATGATATTGTCACATTTGTTGCCATAGACAGATGCGACAAATGGCCACAGGCGTTGGACGACGCCACCATCGTCTTCTACGAAGCAGTGAGAAAAAGAGGTCTAGTCCCAAACTTCAAGAGAGGAAAGACCGAGGCTATGTATTTCCCGCATGGAAAAGGTTCTAAGAAGCAGGCAGCAGAGTTTTATGCAGATTGTTGTGCCCCACGCAAAATAACGAAATACGACGTGCAGATAAATCCTACCAGGAAATACAAGTATCTTGGGTTGCTGCTCCCCTCGGACCTCTCAATGGGCCCTGAGATCCACTCCAGAACCCAGAGAGCCAGCGATGCCCGAAACACCATCCAACGTACTGTACATAAGGGTGTTGACCTGGAACATAAACATCATATTAAGCACTGCAAGGCAATTGTCTCCTCGCATCTCTTTCATAATTGCTCGACCTGGCCCCGGCTAGGACAGCGGGCGAGAGAACGACTGGAGGCGGCCCGCGCACATGCCTACAAGGCCGCCACCAAGTTGACATGGGATGACGCCAGCATGCGACAGTTTCCGAAGTATGATGTTTACATTCGTGCCAGAGTCTTGCCCTCTTCTCACATTCTGTCTTTTAGGCGGCTACTGCTCATGGCCAGGACCATGCAGACAGGGCCACCTGTTCTTGCGAGGCTGCTAGAAGACCAGTTTGACACAGCAGGGACGTGGAGCAATGCTGTGAAACAGGACGTAGAGTGGATGACACAATATATCCTCCTCCCCCAAGAACACAGGCCCCAAGGATATTTCAAGTGGTGGATTCGTAAGGCCCAGGAGTCCCCTAGACAGTGGTTCCGAATTTGCACTCGAGCTGAAAATGCCGCCTTGGCCGTTTGTTTGGATGAACAAGCTCA